TGCTTTGTGATAGTTTTTCCACAGACGAAACTTTTCTAAAATTTAGCGATGTCAGATACATTTACGCAAGAGTTTAGCTCTCTGACTTCTAAGCCTTTGCGGACAGTAGTTCCTTCTCTGAGGACATTACTGTTATGTCTTGTTTTGCGATTGGCAATAACTCTTTTTTACAAAAAGTGACTAAATCCTCAACCGGGAGTCAGTATCCAGGACAAGCTAAGTTTCGAACTTGTTGCATTTTCCCCTTATTCAGTTCTTTGAAAATTACACGGTAATTTGGAGCATGGCATTTGTAACAATTCGAGCTCCAATTACCCGAATATATTGTGGATAAAGTATTGCAAATTATGCTTTGTGATCGTTTTCCCCTAAAATTACCCGCAATTTGGAGCATGGCATTTGTCACAGTTCGATATTTTTTTAGGAATTCTTGATATTTTTTAGGAATTTGGAGAACGAAATAGACAACAAAGAGAAGAAAGCTTTGAAAGGCAAAGGTAAAGGTAATGAGAAATCAAATGAATCCAACGAATGCGACAATAAGTTGGAAAGAGAAAAGAAATTGGCCGGTGACGATGTTGCCGCTGACATTGCTGTACAGCAAGCGCCTCCTGGTTTCTTTTCAAAGCATTTTTTGTCTTTGGTGGTTTTTTTATCCTGATATCTGGAACGGGACAGTTGGTTTGCCAGAAAAATTTCGGTGTTAGCAGCTAGAAGTATTTAGTGATTTTGAATACTTCACAGTTTTGCCCCAGCTAATTTTATCTCCCTGTTTTCGTTGTTTTTTGCAGTGAATAGACCAGGATTTCTTGGTTTTCTAATCTCAGTTATTAAGCGTCGAAAAGCCGTTTGCTGATGAGGTTCTTCGCTCAGTGGCTTCTTTGTTCCCCATTTCTATGTCAGTATCGTCTATCCCATATTGTGCTTTTAAATACGATATACTTTATTGAAGGTGAAAGCGGTCAGGAAGACGAAGACAGTCCAGAATTTGGACACGCCGACCAACACAGTAGCAGCATACAGGAACGAATCGTTATTGATAAGAGTTCGGTCGAAGAAGCGAAAAAATCAAAAGAAAAAGCAAAGCAACTGGAAAACTTATGTATCGATGAGAAGGTTGAGCACTCATACAATTTTTTTTTTTGAATTAATTTTTTGCAGTCTGTGCATGGAATACTCTTTGGTTTTTTAATATTTTTTTGGCATGCATTGGAACTTATCAGGCTTGTCTGTGTGATCACGCGTTTTTACATAATTCCGCCCTGTACAGAGGTTGCCTACATTACTGGGACACGATTATGATATTACAGTTTGCACATTTGATGCTTCTCTACGTAAAGTCCCTGCCTAAAGGTTCATCTTGCGCCTGATGGCCTGGAATGTAACTTGATGGCCGAAAATATAAAACATTTATTTGCCCCCAGCAGTTTTTTCAGTGATGTGAATGAATGATTTAGAAGCAATGCTTAGGCTTGGCTCCGTTTTGCCCGGTGGTCATCTGTTCAGAGTTAAGCTCATATTAGAACAAGGGATGCCGAGTATGGTCCAGCGCAGTTATCCTTCGAATTGCAAACATATCCTCAGTAACTGGTCGTATCAGGCATTTTTACATCGAAAGTCTGGGCAGTTCTCCATTTTTTGTATTTTTTGTTCCAGCAGATTGATGAAAAAATGGTGGACGAAGTTACAATGGAAGAGGAAGATGATGAGTGGGAATCACTATCTGTTGATCTTCGGGAATCCAATATTCACAGTTCAGTGATTCATACAGCTGCGGATTTTTACAGCTTGGCAAGTTTATTCAGTTAAATTTTTATCTTATCACCAGGCCATCCGTTGTTTATTATGCCGTGAAATCGCAAGACTCTATAATTCTTATAATTATGGCCACGGAAACATCAGATTGCAGGTAACATGCCATAACCTGTACCTGGCAGAGGGTCGCATTTACACATTCTAGATAGGCTAGTCACCTGTATAGGATATTGCTCGTTACCTGTACAAGACGCTGCTCGTTATTTGTATAGACCGCCCACCCTCTCGCACTGTAGCGCTTCCACTCCCTCCTTCAGCTGCCGCTAGACCAGCTTTGCTCCGCTCCTTTGGCTGCGCCCCTTCCTCTCCCTTCTGAATATTACTGTTTGGTGAGTCAGTGACTCATCAATACAGGTAATCTACTGCAAATGTT